ATCCAAGGTGAAACACAATAAGGCTTCTAAATTCCATGCTTATAGAATAGGGCATAGCAGATGTTTTATTGTGCTTTTAAATCCTTTTTGCGGGGCTCCTGCATTGAGTAAAATTAGGATTGGAAAGAAATCTGTCATTGTAAACACTTATAATACCTTTTCAAATACTAAGTAACAAGAACTCTTGATCATTTGTGACTGTTTTACATTCTGAAACTGAGTTGGAGTCCCAGGGCCCTTGTCCAAAAAAGTGAAAAGAGTTGACTATTTATTTTGATGATTAAATGTTTTTGTTCAATGATGTTCCAACCCTTACACATTTATCAGAGAATGTCAGTGACCTGGGTGATGCACAACCAGTTTGCTAGCATTTGTACAGAGTGTCAGAGGAACGTTCAAAAGTTGACAACATAATGATGTGAAGTACAACGTGTTGGGGAAAGCTGTATAATCTAGTGCATGGTGCAAACCTGAGAGACAACCTGAATCTGAGTTACTTACTTCTCTAATGTAATGAATCATGCACTAAGCAAAGCTTTGTTAAGCATTTTAACCAAAAGTTTCCACAATTGAAAAGGGAGGCATGGTCTAAATTATACAAATACATTGGTAACGTTGCCTAACCAAAACATTTCCACTGTATTTTTGGATTTTAGACAGTGCGCAGAAGTTATTCCACTGAGAGGATCAGTGTATTGTTAGAGACTGTCCGGATCCAATAAAAGCAGGCTAGTACCTAAAGGCCAGGTAAACACCCCAATCTAGTTCCCTTTCAAATATTTTTGATATACAGACATGGCGGAAACGAGTGAAGATTTTGTGAAAAAAAGTCATGATACAATAGCATCTTGAGTTGGGTGTATTGTTCCATCCCTGGTAGTGACTGAGGTCCGTGCTAGGCGTGTAACAATCCAACTGTCTGCAACGATACATGGATTTAACAATGATCGCCAAAAAAAGTCCCATAATGTCATTCAAAACTATACTGCCCTCATACAGCTAGAGAAAGTATGGAGGGCTAAAGTAGAGCAGAAACACAATACCTTTTCAAGTCTGCATGTGTATAAAGGCACTAAAACTGGATTAATATTAAATTATGGTGCAAAGAGGACACACATTGATGAATTTAAGAATGCAGGAAAGAAATGTTTGCTGCTTAAATGTTTGGCATATGAAATTCAACATAAGGAAACACAAACGTGCATACTTATGTTTAAAAATGCCAAAAACATTTCAGCACTATCAATTTTGCGTTTTTCTTTATGTGAAATGTGACAGATAGTGTTAAATGACTCCATAATATAGCCCAAAATCAATCCATTTTCACAACTAGTTCCTGCTTCACTTTTTAAAAAACCTACTGACTTAGTGTCCTTGTTTTTTTAACTATTAAGATTGAGAAAAGAGTAAAAATCTTTACGTTGTCGACAGTCAGTTCTTTAAGATTTCAGAGGCTGACTCAATGCGAGCATGGGATGCAAAAGGATTACTGTCAAAGTTTGTTCAGGCTCATCTTTCTATTGATAGGTCTCAAAGTTAGTCTATATTTGGCCATTAAAAATACCTGCTCTACAGGTTTGACAAACGTCTCCAATGTGGAGCGCTTCTCTCATCATCAGTAAATCCTGAAGAAAATAAACTGAGAGAGAGTGTTGGCCTACAGATAATGTCACATTACTACAGTACGAGTTTGTGTCCTTTGTGAAATAACTAGTTAACAGCAGGAACTTAAAGAAAATATGAAGTTTATGTTTTTTTCCTAATCTTGCAGATCAGGCAGGAGTAGAACAAGCCATTTGTCTCTTTCAATATCTCAAGTGGATTTCATCACCATATTGTATGTTGGCAGTGCATTGATAAAATGTTACTCGAAAAAAAGATGTGGGCCTGCTGATACATCCTGTGGTCTATCCTGTGAGATGTCATTTTTAACATTTATTTTAATGTTTGCATGATTTAACTTCTCCTGTCATCATTATTTTTTGTCTAAGCTCAGTGACTTTGAAAATAAAAACAACAAATGCATTTCAGTCTTCACAGACAGTTTGATTTACTTGACTTACTGTCCTCTACAGCACTTGAGCATTACATGAGTTTGGCTGCAGTATCTTCAGTGTGACAATGAGTCTTATTGATTTTCTAAACCAAGGGTAAAAAAAGGCATAGATCACAGGGTTAAGACAAGAGTTAAAATAGGTCAAACATATAACAAAAGCAGCAGATGATGCATTGAGCAGGTTATCTTGACCTGTTAGAGCGACACAATAATATGGGCAGAGACATATCAGAAAGACAATCACGACAATACCAAGAGTCCTGGCTGCTTTTAGCTCAGATTTTATCGCAGTAATTTTCAATGATTGCTGCAGTGTGACAGCTTCAACGTGAGAGCGTATTGCCCGAGCCTGAGACACAGCCACCACAAATACTCTCAAGTACAAAACAACAATAACAGTGATGGGAAGAATAAATGTTAAAAATTAGATCTGCAATTCCTGCAATGTAGTTAATAAAAAATATACACTCTCCAACACAGGAATGATACCTGCCTGGCTGTTCCAGGATATCCTTCAAAACCAGACTCTGAAAGATCACAGAACAGATCCAACACAGACAGACACAGACTTGAACTCTTTTTAGAGAGACTTTCCTGGGGTAATGAAGAGGATGACAAATAGCCACATAGCGATCAATAGATATAATTACCATGGTTCCTACGGAAGCAGATATAACAATATATGCTATATACTGATACAGAGTACATATGAGGTCACCAAGCAACCAGCAGCCATCGATGAGCATAATTTGAAATATCATGAGGAGGCCAACGAAGAAATCTGAGATAGCCAGAGAGAGGAGGAGGAAGTTGGTAGGGGTATGAAGTTGCCTGGGGAGGAAAGCAGCAAAATGATCGTTATTATTTGCAGTGTCTAGTATTCAGAAAAAACTGATCAGCAAAGATTAAAGTGGAAAAACATAATATTTAGAATTACGCTGTTACTCTTAAACATAAAAAACATTTTGTTTACTATCTAATACTTCCATGATGTATGAAATATTGTTCTACTTGAAGTGGGAGATAGAGATGATGACCAGCAGGTTTAGAGCTGCAGTGACCAGAGAAATGAAGGACAGCAGAATGTAAGTCAGCATGACCTCAAAGTGAGGACGAATTGCCCGTCTACAGGAGGTGTTGAGGAGTTGTGGAAAGCATGGTTCAGTTATCTCCAAGGTCTCCATCACAGGAGAGAAGAGAAGCAGCTCTGGCAGCTTCTTGACTGAAGCTTCTTATTGAAGTCACTATTTCTATCTTCCCCGCCCGCCCTGTCTCTATTGCTCTTGTTCTCTCTATGGGAATCAATGGTTTGTATGCATTCTTTGCTTGCCTTTCTTAATGATGAGGATACCTGTTGTATATGTGTATGTCTTCCTATGGCAATAAGACAGATTTTGTTGGACTTTTTGGACTTTGTTTGCATTAGAAACAAAGTATGTTTTTGTTTGCCTTTTTTGCCTTTTGTTAAAATAAATCTTTTTTTGTTCTCTGATTTGGATCCCACTCTTTGTTTCATAACCAGATAGAATGAACTGAACTGGCCCTGCAGGAGGCCCTGCCCAATTCTTTGTTCCCATCTGATGCCCTGCTCATTCCTGTGTCCTCATCAGAGGCTCTGCCAAATCCTGTGTCCCCGTCATGGACCTGGCCCACACCTGCCTCTGTTTCCCCATCGGTGGCCAGGCTAAAAACTCCTGGCCGCCCTCCTGAATGGATCTGCCTTCCTTAGACAGTATGTTGTTCCCATACTCCATTTTTGAAATAGCTGCTTGGAGTTGTGGCAAGGAGGCCACTGGGGCCTATCGTGGTGGACAACAAGAAATATGCTGATAGACAATGGCATTGAATGAACCTCTTCTGTCTCCAGAGGCAGCTGACAGGTAATGGATGACTTTACCTGGTCAACTTCAAATTGAATACCTTGGATGATGGCATACTTTTGGGAAGCTATGGAGAAGTACTTGTGTTTAGCCTCAAGAAAGTTCTGCCAAACTGTTAGAAGACTCAGGAAGGGGTGGAGACATCGGAAGGAATACTTTGAAGAACTCCTGAACCCACACAGCCCGTCCTCTGAAGAGGAGGCAGTCTGAAGATCAAGAGAAAGCCTTACCACTAACCTTGGCAGAGGTCACCGAGGCAGTTGAAAAGCTCCGCAGTGGCAAGGCGCCAGGTATGAATGAGATTCGCCCCGAGATGCTAAAGGCTCTGGACATTGTTGGGCTTTCTTGGCTAGCACACCTCTTCAATGTAGCGTGGAAATCTGGGACAGTGCCTGTGAGATGAGATGAGATGAGATTCAACTTTATTGTCATTACACATATACAAGTATAGAGTAACGAAATGAGGTTTGGCATCTCACCAGAAGTGCAAATAAGCAGAAAGTGCAAGAGTCTGTGCTATGTACAGTAATTGAGTGCAAGAGTCTGTGCTATGTACAGTAATTCTGTGCTATGTACAGTAATTGCAAAATTTACAGATGTAGACAAAAAAAGTGAATTATTAGGTAAATCTGGATGGCTGGATTAATGGGATGCAATAAATATAAATAAATGCTATAAATAAGTAATGCTACAAAATAAGTGTGTTCTTAGGATTATAATATACAGATTAAGATGCAGTGAGCATGCTATACTAATAATATACAGATTAAGATGCAGTGAGCATGTTATACTAATAATATACAGATTAAGATACAGTGAGCATGCTATACTAATAATATACAGATTAAGGTGCAGTGAGCCTGCTATACTAATAATATACAGATTAAGATGCAGTGAGCATGTTATACAAGTTTACAGATAATTTAAAGAATATGAACATACTATGATACAATAATACAGATGGATGAGAGATGTGTGTGTGTGACCAGGAGGAGTGGTGGGGGGATGATGGGTGTGAGGTGATATGGAGGGGAAAAGGGGGGTCAGCAGGGTGCGGAGAGAGAGAGGGAGAGAGAGAGAGAGACAGAGTTCAGAGTTCGGGGGGTAGAGTTCAGTAGAGAAACAGCTCTGGGGAAAAAGCTGTTCCTCAGTCTGCTGGTTCTGGTCCGGAGGCTTCTGAAGCGCCTGCCGGAGGGCAGGAGGGTAAACAGTCTGTGGGCAGGGTGGGAGGAGTCTTTAAGGATGCCACGAGCTCGCCGCAGACAGCGTGTTCTTTGGACATCCTCAATGGCAGGAAGTGGACACCTTGTGATGCGCTGGGCGGTTTTTACCACCCGCTGTAGCGCCTTACGGTCTGCGACAGAGCAGTTTCCGTACCAGACTGAGACACTGCTGGTCAGGATGCTCTCGATCACACAGCGGTAGAAGTTCATCAGTACAGCTGAAGACAGGTGGTGTCTCTTCAGTGTCCTCAGGAAAAAGAGGCGTTGATGAGCCTTCTTAACCAGACTGGAGGTGTTAGTGGACCAGGAGAGGTCCTCTGTGATGTGGGTCCCCAGGAACTTGAAGCTGGAGACACGTTCAACAGCCATCCCGTTGATGTGAATGGGGTTGTGCGTGCTTCCTCTTTCTCTCCTGAAGTCCACGATGATCTCCTTCGTCTTGCTGGTGTTGAGGAGCAGGTTGTTGTCAGCACACCAGGCGGCCAGATGCTGTACCTCCTCCCTGTAGGCCGTGTCATCGTTGTTGCTGATGAGGCCAATCACCGCTGTATCGTCCGCAAACTTGATGATGGTGTTGGATCCATGTACAGGTCTGCAGTCGTGGGTGAAGAGGGAGTAGAGGAATGGGCTCAGCACACAGCCCTGTGGTACGCCTGTGTTGAGTGTGATGGTGGTGGAGCAGGTGTGTCCTGACCTAACATACTGGGGTCTGTTGGTCAGAAAGTCCATTATCCAGTGACGGAGGGAGGAGTTGAAGCCCAGGTCTCCGAGTTTAGTGTTCAACTTGGAGGGGATGACAGAGTTGAATGCTGAGCTAAAATCAACAAACAGCATTCGTGCGTATGTGTTGTTATTGTCCAGATGAGTGAGCACAGAGTGCAGCGCAGTGGAGACTGCATCCTCTGTACTCCTATTGCTGCGGTAGGCAAACTGGAATGGGTCCAGTGTGGGTGGGAGGCAGTTTTTCAGGTGTGCTAGGACCAGTCGCTCAAAGCACTTCATTATGATGGGTGTGAGTGCCACAGGGCGGTAGTCGTTCAGGCCTGTCGGGCTGGAGTGTTTCGGCACTGGGACAATGGAGGTGGCTTTGAAGCATGCTGGCACAGCTGCTTGGGCGAGGGACAGGTTGAAGATGTCCGTAAAAACCCCAGTGAGCTGCTCCGCACATGCCCTAAGCACGTGCCCGGGGGTGCCGTCTGGACCAGCAGCCTTTTGAGCGTTGATCCGGCTCAGTGCAGCGTGGACGTCTGTGGAGGTGAGTGAGAGGGGCTGGTTGTCTGCAGGAGGTCTGGTCGTGGTCTGTGTCTCTCTGTTGTCTCTATCGAAACGAGCATAAAAGTGATTTAGCTCGTTCAGGAAGGAGACATCTGTGGTTATCGGGGTGGAGTTTCTGGGTTTATAGTCACTGATGGCCTGGATGCCCTGCCACATGCGTCTGGGGTCGGAGTTGGAGAAGTGTTCCTCAACCTTCAGCTTGTAGCAGTGCTTGGCCTTGATGATGCCCCTCCTCAGGTTTGCCCTGGATACGCTGTAGGCCATTGCATCATCTGATCTGAAGGCGGTGTTGCGGGCCTTCAGCAGGAGACGCACCTCCTTGTTCATCCATGGCTTCTGATTTGGGTACGTGGTGATCTGCTTCCATGTTGTAACACTGTCGATGGTGGTGTTGATATAATCCAGCACAGAAGAAGTGTAGGTGTCAATGTTCGTGTGAGAGCCCAAGGTAGCCTGCGAAGCAAACATACTCCAGTCTGTGTGATGGAACTTGTCCTGAAGTACAGAGTCTGTCCCTGCTGGCCACACTTTAATCGTTGTTACTGATGGCTTCACACGTTGGATGAGTGGGGAGTACTTGGGGATGAGGAACAAAGAAAGGTGGTCTGACTGTCCCAGGTGGGGGAGGGGGGTCGTGGTGTAGGCCCCTGCGATGTTTGTGTAAACATGGTCCAAGTTTTGTTTCCTCTTGTATTGCAGGAAACATGCTGGTGAAATTTAGGGAGCACTGTCTTTAAGTTTGAGTGATTAAAATCACCTGCAACTATAAATGCAGCCTCCGGGTGAGCAGTCTGTTGTTTACTGATAGCGGTGTAAAGTTCCTTCATGCAGCTTTAGCATCGGCATCAGGGGGGATGTAGGCTGCAGTTAAAATTGTGGAGCTGAGCTCCCTTGGCTGATAGAAAGGTCTACATTTAACCATGAGAAACTCTATGTTAGCTGAGCAGTGTCTCCCAATAATGACAGAGTCTGTGCACCAAGCTTTGTTAATATAAATGCACAGCCCTCCTCCTCTGGTCTTACCGGAGTCCTCTGCTGTTCTGTCTGCTCGGTGTGTGTGGCGACCGGCTAGCTTGATAGCATCGTCCGGTACTCCATTGTTTAGCCATGTTTCTGTGAAGATCATGACATTACAGTCCATAATTCTCTTGCTGTGGATGATGCGAAGTCGTAACTCGTCCATTTTGTTCACCAAAGACCGCACATTAGCGAGGAAAATGCTGGGTAACGGGAGACGGTGCGGTGTTAGCTTTAGCTTAGCCCTTATACCTCCGTGCTTCCCCCGCCTTTGTTTACGGTCTCGACGCCGCCTGCGAGCACTTCCGCCCGGCCGGGTAGAGTGCGTAGCCTCGGGTGTTTTGGCGATCTCAGGGATGAGTCGAAGATTGTTGATTAAATCGTCAGGGAGGTGTATTCCGATATCCAAAAGTTCCTGTCGGGTGTAGGATGTTAAGGCGAGGCTGTTCCGTACGAACAGACCCGAAATTAACAAGAAAATTACTGCAAAATTGCAAATCTGAGAGAGACGCTGGGCCTCGCGATGCGCTCGCGCCGCCATCTTGGTCTAATCCCTGGAGTGGAAGATGAGTGTGGTGGTTCCCATTTTAAAAAGGGGGACAAGAGGGTGTGCTCCAATTATCGGGGTATCACATTTCTCAGCCTTCTGGTGAATCTTTACTCTAGGGTGTTGAAAAGGAGGCTACGACCCGTGGTCGAACCTCGGATACAGGAGGAACAATGTGGATTCAGTCCTGGCCATGGGACAGTGGACCAGCTCTTTACCCATGTAGGGCTTCTTGGGGGGGG